TTATTATATCTAGGTTGAGATACCCAATTATTTTTTGGGACAAGTTATATTAGAAAAACAAAAGAATGTAAGAAAATAAATTTTAAAATGAACATAAAAGAGAACAAAAGAGAGAATTCACTACGCAAAAAAGATTCAAAAAAATGACACATGCAAATTCCTATTTCTTTTAATTTTGCTTGGCTTAAACACAGAAATATTAAAAAGTATATTTGACATTTAAATAAATATTACATTCAATATAATAAATTCTAAGAATAAAGAGTCACAATAATTAAGAGGATTAAGAATGTGGCTTTGGAGTTGTTTGTAACATAATAGGAGTAATATTTGTTCATTATTACACTAATGAAGAACATTAATTATAGAAAATGAAAAGACAATCAAATTAGAGCTATTGAGACAAATATTTTATTATAAGTAACTAGAAAGCAAGAAAATCAACTGTATTTTTAAAATTATAAATTAGTCGCAATTTTTAAATAACTTGAGAACTCCTAGAAAACAACAAAAATGAAAAATATAAATACTGCAACTTGACTTATTAATAAACAACTTGAAATCTCTTAGAAAACAACAAAAATGAAAAATTTAAAGACTGCAATTTTACACATTAATAAATAATTTATTTTTAATAAAACAAAATGTATTTTCAAAATTATATATTAACTTTACATTCTTATGTTCTATCATTTTTGTTAATAAAATTTGTTACACCAAATTATGGAAGTATATGTACGTATTTCTTTAAGTAGCATATCGATATCCATTGACTCGTTTCCTGCTTCTATGTTTTAAAATATTATAGCCCACAAACACAATAAACTAATATTATCAACAAAAAAGTGAGAGATAAATTTATTTGAACAAATATTTTTTTGAAGAGTGTTATCAATATAATATAATCAAATTATCTAAGAATTACATAGAGGTCTAAAGATAATAAATAAAATATTTTTTAAAAAAGAACTCAGAATTTATATCTTCACGAACACAAACAAATAATATTAAATGTATGATTTCAACAAAAAAAGAGTTGTAATTATATTAGACATATCAAATTATTTTACCTTGTAAAATCAAATTATGCAAGAATGTCTAACCATTTTCATTATAGATATATCTCCTATAATATGCAAAATATGATCAAATAAGTTAAAAAATTATATAGCAAAAAAAAGAAAAAGACAAAGAATAAGGAGAGAATTGCATTTAATCATAAGTCCTGTTACACATCTAATCATTTTTGACAAAACATAAATAATTCAAAAGGAAATAATATAATAAAAACACTACTTCTTAAGCCCCTAAAAAAATAAAGAATAATCAATCTATATAGTGCAAAATCCATTAATCTCCATCTCTGGATGATTTCATTTCATCCTATATACAAGAGTCAAGAAAAATAATAACAAATTGTTAATCCTAAAATGAATCTCCATCTTTATGGTTATAAAGAAAATCATAAAGATGACAAATCAAAATAATTTATCCAGAAAAAATAAAAAAATACTTTGACATATTAGCCTTACTTGCTAATTAAAAGTAATATATGAAATTATACTTGGAAAAGATAATGCACCTCAAAGCTTAAAAATATTGTAACATATCTGCCACTAATTCTCTAACCGAAGATGACTACAAAATAACACACAATTTTAGTGTGCTTTTATAGTGTTAATATAACCTTCTACATTAAATAATTAAAGGTTATGAATATAAAAGACTTGAGAGGTTATGAATATGAAAGGTTTGGGAGTTATGAACATTATATATAGATATATAGAGATTCCATATACGCCTATCATACGTAAATAAATGATGAGTAAGCTAAGTCGCCGCCAAGTACCAAAAAAGTTATTGAATGTTTTTACAAATAGAATCCTCCAAAAAACTTTTCAGAACATTAAGTGTTTCGATTTTATTTTATTTTTGAGAACGTCTTGCAAAATGTTCATTTGTAAGTTTAATTTTCCTTAATATGTCAAAATTATTATTGAAAAAACATTTTATGAGAAGAAACAATTAAGGTTTCTAATTGAGTCACGTGTAATGACCCTCAACAACCAGGTGGTTGATGAGTGCATTGACAGATAGAATGGTAGATGTTCACTAGGAGATCTATACCGAATGGAAAAACGTACTTTTTTTTCTCACATTCTCTGGCCGGAGTTATTATTTCTATTAAATATATAAAAAGTTGAATATTTCATATATAAAATTGGGAATAAAATAAATGTTAAAAAGTAAGCAAAAAATTGAGGAGGAACAAAAGTGCACCAATATTGCAAGCATGAAAGACTATTACTGCTACATATGAAAACTCAATGATGACTTTGAATTTTAACTCAAAGATAATAGATTATTTTGGGCTTTTCCCTCTGCGGGGAAAATACTAAGACCAAATGATCTACGCTGAACCAAAGTACTAGTACTTGCATATTAGAAAGAAAAAAAAAACTTTCACACCTTTATATCAAATCAATAAATATATATTATTTATTTTTATTTATATTGTACTTTTATCACATAATGATAATCATAACTAATTTACATAAATTGTAATGAATTAACACAGTGTTAATCATTGAATGCGGATAAGATTTTTCGTGTATAAACTAATAATGGCCTGGAAAATACTTCTCTTTTCTTAATTTTTTGTCCTTTTTTTTTTACTTGTCCCTTTTTATCTGTCCATTTGACAAATCGAGGAAGTAAATTTTTTTTTATCTATTATACCTTCAATTAATTATTTTGAAAAAAATAATTTTTTTAAAAAATCTTAAACTTTTAATTCATCAATTTCATAAGCAATAGTGGTGAAATAGTAAATTCACTGTTAAGAAGTCTCACATCGGTAGAGGGATGGGAAATTGGTCTCTTTATATGTACTTGGACAAACCTCCCTCAAGAGCTAGCTTTTGGGGTTGAGTTATGCCGATGTATCATATCTTTACATGGTATATTATATTAATAATTATTTTTTTAATAGGTATACCAATTTAAAAGTGGGCAACTAATTAGAGACAGAAGTAGAGTTTGAAAGGAAGCTTTTGAATTGCTCACAATCTTTGATTGTTTTGTCTCTTTATAATTCCCACTTGAAGTGAACGTGATTGTTAGCTGACAGCGATTAGTCATATGGGGGTTTCTTGTTGCTTAGTTGCGAGTCATTTTCATGTCATCCTCATCATGGGGGTTAATGTTAACGTGGCATCAAATGCTCCTCATTTTTACTTGATTCAAAATGTGTACAAGAAGAGCCCAGGTCTTTGTTATTTACAAATTAATTAGTTTTGTGACAAAAAATATATTATAAGAGCGGTTAAAATTTCACATTGGTTGAAGAATAAATTGACGGTCTTTTTATATGAATTTGGATAATTCTCTCTCATAAGCTAGCTATTAAGATTGAACTAGATTCAATATGTAATATCTGTATAGAGTATAAGAATCAGGTCCATTCATATTTGAGCTCTCGATCCACATTTCATTTGGGCCTTTTGGACGTGACGTGTATGTGGAGGTGTATGTTATAGAGTGAGTTAATATCGTACATTGATTGAAAAATGGATTAATAATCTACTTATATGAACTTGAACAATCGTTACTGAGCTACTATTTTTTAGAGTTAAATTAGACTCAACTGTTATTATCCTTAACCAAGATATAAGGTGATTTGAGTTTTGGACTCCCTTTGTCTTTTCCTTTAATCCATTTCTGTTGTTTTTATTATTCATTATTAACACACACACGAACAAAAACCGAAAAAGAAGAGGCAAGAACCATTTTGATTTACACAAATATCCATAATATCCATTTAAGGCTATTTTTAGAAGTCCTACAACTATTGCCCGTTGAAATAATAAAGGAAAGCATTAGAGCCCATTTTGATTGGCTTAAAAGTCGGTCAAATTTATTTTTAAATTAATTTTTGACTTCTGAAAGTGTTTGACAAATATAAGGCCTGTTTGGATTGATTTTTGGCTTATGACTTATAAGCCAAAAGCCATTTTTGTTATTTTGGCTTTAAAATAAGTGCTTATAAGCACTTTTTGACTTTACCCAAACACTTCAAAACTGCTTAAAAACTATTTTGGCTTAAAAGCACCTAAAATAAGTCAATCCAAACGGGCACATAAAAAATGACTTAAAATAAGTCAAAAATAACTTAAAATGAGTTATGAAGTGTTTGACAAGGTAAAAAAATGACTTAAAATAAGTAAAAAGTGACTTAAAATAAGTCAGAAATCAAAAGTATTAAGTCTCCCCTACTTTTGATTTTTTGACTTAAAAGTTATTTCAATTTGACTTTTTATTTTTGACTTAAAAATTATTATTTTTAAGCCAATCCAAACAGGCTCTTAGACTGACGTCTTAAATTTTCTTTGGTTATCCCTTTAGGATATCTATTTAATAAATGTTCCTTGTTTTTTTCTCATAATTTATAAACTTCTAAAACCATATTCTAAAGTTTATTTTTGATTAAATTGAAAATATTAGAATATAATCTAAAATTTTGTAACTTACTGTAAATATTAAACGACAATATAATATTTTATTTGTAAAGTTGAGCAATATATAAAGTGTAAACAAATAGTATTTTATAATTACTATATTTTTAATAAATTGGGAGTGGGGAAGGGGAAATGGGAGAGAAGATTACAATAGTAGGATCAAATCCTCACCAACAAAATGAGAGATCAGGTAGCTAACCAATTAAACTATTAAGATTTCCCTATAAACAAATATTATATCAGAGTCTAACGTACAATTTTTCAAGTTATATTTCCACAGTTTTTAAAATTGGAGGAAAATTTAAATAGTAGCCTAAAAAGAGACAATTGTGTAAAATTAGCCGAGTCCCTCCACCCCCTCACCCAACTTGGGCCTATGCATCCTAAATGGGTCAATACTTTGGGCTTTCACCAGTTATCACCAATTGCGAGGCCCAACTGTTTCGGTACCCGGCCCATCAATGCGACTCAGTACTTCTCCCTTTCCATCGCCATTGCTAGTCTTCAATAACACGCCAAGCTCAGAGCCTTTCGAATTTACCACCTCCATTTTTGCTTAAACCTCAGTTCTTCCAGGTATTTACATAAACCCTAATACGGAAAATGGAAAAATGAAGGGGAAAAAAAGCTATTACGTAGACAAATTGGAAGTTCTTTTCGTTTTTTCTTCTGCTTTTAGGAACCTTTTTGTTAATGTGAATTGTTTTTATTTTGTAAGGGGAAGAGGAAAGGAAGCTATGGAAATCCCAGTCCAGCAGAAGAAGCTTTCACTCGATATTAAGGCATAACTCAACATTTTACCCTTTCTTTCACATTGAAATATTTCTATTTTTTTGTAATTAGCTCTGTTGATTTTTGTGTAATACACGATTGTTTGAATTTTTATGGTCTGATTAAGTTGTTTCAAAATGAATGTCAAATCAAAATTTCCAAAAAAGGACTATATTATGGACATAGTTGATTGATTGATTGATGTATTTCTCCGCATTTGATGAAAAAGAACAGTAAAGCACAACCATAATTAATTAAGAGGAAAAAAGAAAAATTCTGCAAGGGTGATCGAGTTGGTTTAGCAGCTGATCTCCCAAATGATTGAAAATCCCCTCCATGCTTTCCTGGTGGAGTTAATCACACATGTTTGCATAGGTGGTTTAACTATCATGTGTGGTTTGCAGGCTATTATACTTAAGTAGGGTTTAACTTGTGCGCATTTGAAGGGTAGTGACTGCAGGTTACCTTATCAACAAAAATAATAAGAAGAGGAAAAAGGAAAAAAAAGTAAAGTAAAGGGATCTTGTGATGGGAAGTAAGAAAGAGGGAGGACTTGGAGTGAGAAACCTTAGACTTCACAATAAAAGTCTTCTTCGCAAATTCGCTATGGAGAATGAATGATGGGAAAGAGACTTTGCGGAAGAATGTCATTGTTTATAAATATGGTAGAGACGGGTTTTGTGAGCCCGGATCTATAAGCTCTCCTTATGGAATTGCACGATAGAGGTATATTGCAAAATATTTCTCGTTTTTCTACTCTCTTTTGAGCTAAATCATCTTTCATGTATGCAGGGAAATAAAACAGATGTAGTCATATGTGCCTATGATGACCATTTTATGGTAAGTCAGAAACGCCTGATTTGGTTTTTGCCACATATGAGCATTATTGAGTCTTAATTGTTATTTTCAGGTTATAGCTACTCAAATAGGAAGCATGGGTACAATATTGCAGGCCAGGTATGAATCGTTTTTGTGAAGCTGTTCTTGCTTATATATTGGTGTTTTCAGATTTCTTATGATGAGCATGGATTTGGTTTGTGCAGAAAATGAACTTCTAAACTGAAGCCTGTAGATGCTATTTATGTGATCTATACTATATGAAATCAATCAATCAATCTATCTTTAAGTTGCTATTAAGCCATATTTGCTTTTGAGTTTCACTTGTTCTGTCTATTGTTGTACTCTGAGCATGACTTGAGAGATCTTATAGCTTGTAGTTGATTTGTTTTCATAATTGGATCTCCTCACTCAGTTGGAAAGAGTTTTGTCATATAAAAGAAGTAAGGTATGTAGTCTTGCTGTGCAGGAAGGAGGAAGGGGTGTCGATCCATCCAACCTTTAGTGTTTCTGTATTACTGGGTAAACGCGATGAGGTATTTTATAATATACTGCAGTAATTTCATGTCGTTTTGTGTATAATTATAAACTTGATAAACTGCATTTTTCTCTGCAGCCCATGCTGGTTGCATGTGCTCGGCAGATTATTGAACACATAAGGTACTTATGGGAACTGAAATTTATTAAGATTTCGACTCTCTGTGAGGGATGATACCTGAATCAGATACTGATATTTCTCTACTAATCCAAACCTTGCTTATTTGCAGTAATGCCGGATCTTCTAGGTCTTTGGTTTTATCTCTTGGACTACGCGACCATTCTCTGGTTAGTAACATGCAGATATTTTACTCTCTTTGCACGTAGAAGTGTTTCTTCCCTTTAATTCATTGCATTCTTTTTATATGCAGCCCACTTTGAAGGGTATCGTTTCGGCTGTCACTGAGAACTGCCTTTGGTGACCTATACTGTCAATTTTGGATTGTTCATAGTTGTAATAGCCAGAAGAGAGAAACTTAATGATTAATTCAGTCCTGTGAAGTGTTTATGCTTACTCCTTAATGATGTTCTATTATCAGCAAGACTTCTCTAGACTGTAAAAAAAGTGTTTCTATTGGTGTCCTTATTGAAAGAGGGGCTTTACGACTCGTCTTTATAAATGCATTTATTGTGATCATTCTAGTGTTTTGGTGCAAACGAAGATCGCGATTTGTTCTCTCTTTTTCAAGCAATTCTAACGAGGATTATCTTTTTATGGTGCACAAACCGTAAAAAATTACTTTCATGTCAAAGAAAAGATGGAACTTTTCAATACATTTGCGCCACAAGTTTTCCCTATCACTGGTTATATTATCCAGTTTCACGCATGAACTTATAAATAGTTATTTGGCCATGATTTCGAATAATCAAGTGTTTGTCAGAGTAACTCATTATTACAACTTTAAGCATGAAGTATAAAATTTGGTAAACACATTTTAGAAATTTTTACCCACAAAACTTCAACTTGTTTATATCCATATGTGACTTCAACTTTCAAATAACCATTTTTCGATTAACAATAGTCTAATTTTTTCTAAAGCAGATGTTAGACAACAATGTCGTTGTAGTATAGTGGTAAGTATTCCCGCCTGTCACGCGGGTGACCCGGGTTCGATCCCCGGCAGCGGCGTCTTTTTTGATTTTTTAAACAATCACGCCAAAAAGGATCTTTGATGGACTTTTGGGAGTAACAAAGGAAAAAAAAACAGCTATCTTTAACATAAAAAATAAAAATCTGACATATAAGTTACATAATCAACAACTCAAAATATCAACACTAGGAATATCAAATGGACCAAACTCCTCCATAGAGGTTTATTTCGGAACAAGGGTCTGGGTTTCGCAAGGGTGATTTACACGAACTGCATTTTTTTTGCTCCTAGAATTTCAATTAATATTGAAGGACAACTTAAATACAATACCCAATTGGTATATTACAATAGATAATCAAGATTCTGACAATGAATAGCATCTCAAAATTTGGGTGCCTACTTTACATTCACACATATGGTACACAAAAAATACAACAACCCACTCGCCAAGTAACTTAACGATGTGCCCCAGCACAAGCATGTGTAGTAACTTCACCAACCATGTAGTGTAGCCTTCATATCCTCTAGTTTTTATCAGCGATTCAATTTCTTTTCCAACTGCAAGCCAGAAATGACAACTTGAGAAAAACATGTCATCAATGGTTTCTTGGAAATTTTATAATAACAGTGCAAGAATAAAGCAGCACTGCATTTTCATTTTCCGTTTTCAACTTTGTTCTAAAGAAATCAGATCTTTGGAAGAAAATAAAGGAAAGGACTTCCCCGACAATTGTACAGCACATACCTGAACATTTTTCATCTTTTGTCTCTGCAACTCTTCCACAAGACTTCCAATGCTGAAAATTGATGAGCCTTCAGTTTTCCATAACAAGCAACCAAGTTCAAATTTGTCAACGAATATCTTACCTTTGTTGCAATTGAATGACCATTGATTGCAGTTCTCTCTCCCTAACAGAAGTAGCAGGCATCTGCAGAATGGAAGTGCTGATGTTAGGAGGATGCAGGAGCGTGACATAATTCAGACATACACCATGCATTTCTTTTACACACTCATGCATGGGATAGGGCACATCACCCCAACCCCAACCCCTTCCTTTAGTAAAAAAGTTCTAACTTCTAACCCCTTAGGCCTTCATGGAAAAAGAGTCAAAACTCAATATAAACCCCACTCTCACATTATAATAATGGTCAAAGGGATAACTGGTATCCCTACAACACTCTATTTCCTAATTGCTTGGTCTTATCTCTTTTAATAATTAAAAATACGTTATTTTCAAAACAACTTGGCACCATTTCTAGTATCATAGTACATAACAAACAAACAATTACCTGCGGAAGATCACTGGTCCCAGCTTCAGCCAAGTCTATAGGGTTGACTGAAACAGATGTAAATAACAAGCCGGTCAGGGGCAACACATAAATATAGTTAACATTCATCATCGAAAGGAGAAGTGGTCAAATGTGGACCAAATGTAAATAGATAATTTACCAGATCCTCGCTCTGCGAACTTGATCAGCTTCACTAATTCCTCCTAACAAGATGCAGAACAGATTAGCAACAGGCAACAGTGATGCACAAAATTTTGATGTAGTAGAAATTACCCTTTGCAAAGTATTCTGCTGTAGAATGCATTGCAATGTTGGAAGTAGTGAAGCAGCTGCTAGACCTAGATTAATTGCACTAGTAGAACCTCCCTGAACTGGGTTAAAGAAATAGCTTGTAGGTTCCTGAACAAGTGAAAAAAAAAGAGGCAATGGTTACGAAGCCATAGCCTAAAGTGAGATAGCTAAGTTTGATACTTACCATGAGAACACCAAACAGGGAAGTCAATGCTGAAAGTGAAACTAAAGAAACCCATGCAGAATGAAACTTTATTAAGGAAATAGAAAGGAGACAGAAGCAGAAAGAACTAAAAAGCAAATTCCCTGACAAATCATTTTATGCTCATGTCACAAAACAAACGGTCTTAACTCTTTACATAGAAAGTTTCACTCCTCTTAATTAAGAGATCTTTAATAGAAAAGCTCAGAATCCGACAAAAACCAAAGAACAAATTTTTCCCAAACCAACCTGGAAGGATTTTTCGTTTCTTTTTTTATGAAGAAAAAAATGATTTTATTGGATAAATCATGAACAAATATTGCGCTCTAAATGCACTATAAACTCAAGTATGTGGAAGGAAAATATTGCCACTAAATGCTAAACACAATGAAGGAAATTTTTTTCTTGGTGATCAACAAAGCGGCAAATCTTCAGCTTCACTTATATTAAATGGGATTTGGCACAGGTAACAATCACTTAGAAAGGTATGAGGAATGCTTGTAACAAGAAAACAAGGCATGGTCATCAAAAAACACAACAGTCTAAAGGTTATCCACAGTCTACCCCCTAACCCAACCTTTTCCACTCTTGTTGTTCATATCCTTGAATAAACCAATGTTTGTATGCACTAGTGATTTGTGTGTGTGTGTGTGTTTTTTTTTAAAAATTGCAAGTGATTTGGTGTTAATTAACATGTATTATAGACGGAATCTGGTCACTGAAGAAAAATCCCCCTCATAATGCATTATTATAGCTGACCTGACAATCAATTCAAGAAGGCACAGTATATATACCTTGGGACTTAGATCTGCTGATGTGACTTGAAAACGTCCCTTGCGTTGGACAACAGCTCCTTCTGATGAATCTTCTCCTGCGACAAGCATTATCCAGAGACTCAGAAGGGAAGGTAACAAAACAAAGTCATTTAGAAAATCAGAACTCATAATAATCTGGAGGAATTTGTGTTTTTTAAACATCACCCAGTCTAAATTCATTGTCAGAAACCGGATTACCTAAATCTTTTTTATGTCGGTACTGCAATGGGCCGCTATAGTTTCGCTCAGACTGGTACTTCGGATGTTGATATTCCCTACATATAGAACTAAACAATGTAACACAGCTTGAAACAACAATTTACTGCTCGAAATATGGAAAATGTAGACTGAACACCATTGCCAATCATTGCATGTGATTTTAAGATGACACGGACTCCAACAAAAAGTTCTACATGCAGCTAACATCAAAACTCGAACCATGTAGGTCGTAGATGAAGTGCATTCTAGAAAAACTATCATCACTGATGTCAAAATTATAAGTAAAATTGGCAGGAACTTGAAGCACCTAAGTACTCAAACAATTCACCCGCATTACACAATTAGAACACTCAGAATATTCAGAACCCATAAAGCACAAGAATCCCACTACTTCCTGGTTACTGGTTAGTAATCTTTGCAGATGTTTTTTTTTAGAAAATTTCAACTGAATAACATTTACTTCAGGAACAAGCATCGACTAACTTGGGGTTGCGCATTTTCAATGCCCTTCCTTTCTTTTTGAGAGAATACCATGATCTACTAGCAAATTAGTAGTATTACCATCCTATAATAGCTATCTTCATCCATATTGCAACTGTTTTTTGTTTTCAGAAAACGTTGACCAACTCTAGCAGTTCAATTGTGAACACAACAAATAAATATACCTCTCTCCATCAGTAACAACTTTTTTCGGTGAAAGAGCGTTATCCTGTAGCAGTGAACCACTAAAAAACTTTTTATGCCCAGGAATAACAGAACGTGGCAAGGAGCTACTCTGTCGCAGATTCTCACCATCATCTTTTCCACCATCTTGGTCCTCAATTTTCGCTAGTGACAGCATATCATTCTGCTGAGTAGACTCTGATTGCATAGTATCTTCCCAACTTGGACTACTAGCAGTTATGTCATCTTCACACATATCAAAACATCCCCTGCATTGGTACAACATTTTATATACACATAAATTTCACAAGGAACAAAAAACTTACAAGTCGGAAATATAATAGTTCCACTTTTTCCTTAAAAAGGATTATTAATAATAATAATTCCACAATTTCTGGAACTTTTTTGCTTAATTGACTTTCCCTTTTCTTCGACAATGATTCCTTCAACAAACTTATCCTCACTTTCTACTATGTGAGCAGGTAACTTCATTCATCTGTTAATCTGATGCAAGCATGCTTTCAAGTCCAATCACAGGAGGAGGAGCTAGTTGAAAGATATTCCAGACAAAATGAAGGTTGGACCACATTATTTAACTCAACGAGAACCAAAACTTTTAAATCTTTCACATAGGAAAATCGGTAGACCTTGATCATAAAACCAACTGGCTAATTCTGTACCTTTAACTCAATTATTGGCTAATTTTATACACATTTAACTCAATTACTAGCATGACGGCTATGCTAATTCTATACCTCGGATCATTATACCCACAGCACTTGAACATCAAGAAAGGTTTTAATATTTCAACATCACTTTCCTTAATGTACCAGACTCAGCTAGACATACCTATAATGCAAACAGGGTTGTGCTTCCAAGGAATACCACATTCCAAATAGCAAAATATAACTATATATGTAAATACACACACACACATCTGGATAATGAAACCAACTGGTTATAATTTGGGTTGGTGATGATGGATTTACTATCAAATGCCAATAGAAGAAGCAGAACCAGGAGGAAGACAAAATTCTTACTTGAGTGCTTGAAGAGGCTTAATAGG